TTTTAATGTGTTTTCAAGCATGTAAATTGGTTTCTTTTGGAATCTTAAGAGTTAAGATCTACGATCTATAACATAGGTCATAAGACAGGCAAATTAAATATATTCATTTTCCCAGTAAATTGTCCTTCCTGAAAAACCACAATCTGGTTATTAAGATTACATCCTATTTATCTTTTTTATCCATTGTATACAGACGTGCCTGGTCCTTACACCTTCTAAAGTGTGCTGAGCTGAACCGGACAGGGCACAGTGGAAGCCACTGCACTGGGCAGAAAGATGCGTAAGACACAGTCACCAGCTTCATGGAACTACCAGTCTGGCAGAACCAAAGACACAGATCCACAAATAACCACAGTGTAGGGCAGTGTCAGACAGGCTCAATGCAAATGTTACACCTCAATGTGGAGCAAGGAAAGGAGACCTCTCCCTGCTAAAGTGAGAAGGCAGAGAAGAGAAGGTGGCGTCTAAGCCAGGACTTGAGGGCAGGGCTCATGTTGAGTATGTTCAGTTAAGAAAGAATACAAACTTCCAAGATAAGTGTGGTCATTTATTCCTAACAATGATTCATTTTTAGTTGAATATTTGCTTAGGATTAGGAGTCACAGTGATGTAAAACAGAAAAACAACCAAAGGGGAAAAGAGGAGTGTTGTTTGTAGAGAGTGATTTCTCCCAGCCAAAATGGTAAACTGGAAAGAATTTTTTTTTTCAAAAACTTAAAACGAGTAGATGACATTTCAGCCAACATGTAACATAGTATTTTTACCTCTCCCACAATCTTCATATACCATTTAAAGTTGGTCCTCTATGGACACAGTAGCGATGATTATCAATGCTGACTGAAGAAGCTGACTGACGTTGGGGGGGAAGCTTCATGTAGGACACTGGTGGAGAGATCATCAAATCACAGCCTGGGTCCCGCTCAGATCTCGCCCCCGAGCTCCAGACCCAAAATCCAACTACATACCACACCCTCCACTGCAGAGTCCACAAGCCCTCCGAACATACCACATCCAGCGTGGAAGTCATCATCTGCACTTTCTTCAGTGTACTCTAGGTCACTAAATAACACACCAGAAACTTGGGCGTCATCCTGGGTTCTATCTTCCTCATTCCCCACAACCAATCATCATCACCACCAGCCACCATTTTACTGAATGTGAATTAACGTCGAGCCAGTTACTGAGCCAAGTGCTCTGTAAGCATTTTCTCCTTTGATCCTCATAAAAACCCTATGACATAGGGCTCTTAACCAAATTTTCCCAAGAAAGAAGCTATTGTGCAGAAAGGTGAAGTAAGTTTCTCAAAAACACAGTTCCTAGTGGCAAAAGCCGCCACGCCAGTGGTAGCTGTCTGCAAAGCCCGAGCGCCCCACCACTGTCCTGGGGCTGCGTGCCTCTCTCTCTCTCCCTTTCTAAAAGTACCTTTCAATTCCTATCCTTTTCTGTTCTTACCTCTACTACTTAATATAAAACCTAACTTCTCAGGTTTACTGTACTAGCCTCGAATCCTGAGCCTCAAAAAAACTATTCTCTAAACTGCCAATCAGTAAAACATTCAGAAATTAGCCCCACAACCTCCAGTGACAGGTCCCAGGCATTTGCCCTGAAGGAGTGAGCCCCATGGCAAAATGGCCTACGTGCTTCGTCCAAACAGGACAGGAGCTAAGCAATTCCAGCCCACCGATTCCTTGCAGTAATGCAGGACTACTCATTTTTCAACAAAGCCTGATATGCGTGTTTCCTGTGAAATACTGGCAACTACCTCAAGAAATGTTAAAATACTCTGTGAAGGAGACTAAATTCACCTGTATGCTAGATTTGACCTATTAGCACAGCTTACAACCTCTGAAATACAATTTGATTATATAATTTCCTTGTTTAACATCATTACAATGTTCCTCTGCAAATTTGGGACAAAGGCTAATCTATTTAAGATGAAATCAAAGGCCTTCCATGAGTCAGCCAATTGCTATTTCTCCCACTGCATCTCTTATCTGATGCCCTTCAAACGCATACCCCATGCCAGAGCAAGGTGTTTACAATTCCTAGGATGTGCCCCCTTACTCTGGCTTTTAAAGTTTCAATGCACCTTTCTGTCTGGCCAGGGTGCCCTTCACTTGACTTACTTATCCCTCAGGATTTAGTTGGGCCACTACTCCATCACTCCTGGGCTGGGATCCTGAGATATGCTTTTGCAGTATCCTAGTCAAAACACACCTCTCACCCAGTATTGCCCTAATATGTGGGCCTTCAACACTGACAGTGAACAACATGGACGCCTAGAGCTTCATCTTATTGGGATGATATCTGCAAGTGGTTTTCTGTAGTACAGAGACAATCAAGAAAGTAATAGCACCCAATATATATAACTGTTCAATGAATGACTCAACTGAACACCACCAAGTCCATAAAATCTTCTTTGGTCTTCTCCAGCAAGAAGAGTCTCTTCCTCTGAACAACCTCAACTCTTCATCCCTAACTCTTTCCTACTTTAGAATCCTGGAAGGAATAAGAGACAATCATCTTACCAAATTAGCTCCTCACAAACAAGAGTCTATGTTTTACTAATCTTTGTATCTCTCCCGCACTTAACTTAGCTCCTTGCTTCTAGTAAGCTTTCAAATGTTTGTCGAATAAATCACAGTAACTCTAAATGTTCTAGTTCCTTTGGTTCCTTTTCCTTTGGTTAGCTAACCAAAACCATAGTCTATTCTGAGGTTTACAAATGGCTATTATTAGAGAAGTGGGAAAGGAATGGTTCAGAAACACAGACAGCTATTCAATGGAAGTTTCATTTTAGAAATGAAGGATGTAAGAAATCTCCTACTTCCAACTGATTACTTTCTAAAGATGGGCATATAGGGGCGCCTGGGTGGAGCAGTCAGGTAGGTGTCCAACTCAACTTCAGCTCAGATCATGATCTCAGGTTTGTGGGATCTAGCCCCGAGATGGGCTCCATGCTCAGGGCAGAGTCTGCTTGAGATTCTCTCTCTCTCTCTCCCTCTGTGCCCTACGCCCACACTCTCTTTCTCTAAAATAATCTTTTTTAGAAAAAGAGATGGGCATATAAACAAACATATCTAAAACCATGCTATGAGTATTAAGATGGACCCTGGGGGCACCTGAGTGGCTCAGTCGTTAAGCGTCTGCCTTCGGCTCAGGTCATGATCTCGGGGTCCTGGGATCGAGCCCCGCATCGGGCTCCCCGCTCAGAGGGAAGCCTGCTTCTCCCTCTCCCCTTGCTTGTGTTCCCTCTCTGTCTCTCTCTCTGTCAAATAAATAAATAAAATCTTAAAAAAATAATAAAATAAAAAAGATGGACCCTGGTCAAACACTAGGGTGTTCTAAGTATTCTATATATTGTTATATCTTATTTTCTCTATATATTCTATATATTGACCACACACTAATAATAGCAAACATTTATCAAGAACTGCTCTGCATGAGGCACTCATGGCCAGTTGGTAAGTCACAGGAATAAGTCCTGAACCTAGATCTGTTGGTGACAAAGCCCACATTCTACAGTTGACCCTTGAACAACATGGGATTTAGGAGTGCCAACCCCCATGCAGTCAAAAATCTATGTATAACTTTTGATTCTCCCAAAACTTAACTACTAATAGCCTATTGTTGACTGGAAGCCTTACCGATAACATAAACAGTTTTATGCTATATGTATTATATACTGTATACTATATGTATATGCTGTATGTATCATATACTATATATTATATACTGTATACTGCATTTTTACAATAAAGCAAGCTAGAGGAAATGTTATTAAGAAAATCATAAGGAAGAGAAAATACATTTATAGTACTGTACTGTATTTATTTTTAAAAAATCCATGCATAAGAGTACCCATGCAATTCAAACCTCTATTGTTCAAGGGTCAACTGTACTTTTCTTTGGCATTGCCTCCTTAACCTCAGCCACAGCTCTGCTAGTTAATCCTATAATTCTTACCAATTATAAGATACATACACTGTGATGTATGTTCAAGTATGTTCAAGTCTCCCTGAACAAAGAAATTCCTTAACTTTTATTTCTAGCACTATCATATTTTTCCCCAAATGTTTTTATTAAAATCCTCTCTTAAAAACATTTTCTAAGACATGTGATAGTATCTTTCACCTATCAAAGTACATTGTCTTCTTGGCCCCAATTCCATGAAATAGAATTTCACATATTTCACCCAAATTTTCCACTAAAGTGCCATAAGGGTGATTCGTTAAGTGACATTATTCACTTCCAAAAATATTTTATTTTTTTTAAGATTTTATTTATTTATTTGATAGAGAGAGAGAGAGAGAGAGAGCAAGAGCAGGAACACAAGCAGGGGGAGTGGGAGAGGGAGAAGCAGGCTTCCCGCTGAGCAGGGAACTTGATGCGGGGCTCAATCCCAGGACCCTGCGATCATGACCTGAGCCGAAGGCAGACGCTTAACGACTGAGCCACCCAGGCGCCCCCCAAAAATATTTTAAACAAGGAACCTTTTATGTACCAAAACAATATAACATAAATACTCATAGGTCCTATTATAACATCTTATATATTTTATACAATAAAAATATTTCTTACCTGAATTTTTTCAAGGAGAATTAATGAAGATGAGATACAATTCCCTCAGGTTAATAATAGGCTGGTGTTAGTAATTTCATTTGGTGAGTTTTTTTTTTTAATTTCCTCAAGTATTAAAAATATAAACTGTCCTTTATGTTAGAATGGAGGTCAATTTATTAGATTCATAAGACAGGAGAAAAGAATTATAAACTGAAAGGGAAAAGTTTAATGTAATAACTGAAAGAAAATGAACTTATATAATTATATAATTATGAACAGAATAAACACATAAAAAATATAGTTTTCCCCCAAATAGGCAACTCAAAAACACAACTAATGTTAAGTTTTATTGATAGCTCTGTAAAGTTATTATTAAAGGTTATGCCTTTCAAGACATAGATTAGCCGTAATTATTTCAAGAAATATGTTCATCTAACCTTTGAGCTGGCACCTTATCCTGGCTATTCTCTGCCTTAAGACGTAGAAAGCTGCAAAACAAATGTCCAAAAAAAGAAATTCCAGATCTTTTCTCTGTAAGGAGGCTGGACTTGGGTATTTAGCAACTTGTTACATTCCCGGAGACTTAACACATATTCAACGCTCAGTGCTTTTCTGAAACAAAAAAAAAAATCTAGGACATGTTTAAAATAGTAATAGTCACCATTTTGTCATTCAAAAACATTTTGTAACAAAAATATTAACCAATAATTGAAGTTGTGCTATTCTTTCATAGTCCAAATTCTAAATCAGAGTATTTCAGACCTCTTGCGGCACTGTACCTTCCAATCCAATTTTTCATTTTCAGAATATTAATTTTGGTTCCAAGAGACGGTATCCTTTTATTTAAATGAGTGTTGGACAAAATATCTGAAAAAAATTAAAACTTTGGATCAATTAGTAACCAAGGCTGGCAGTTTTTTAGTTGATAGATCTTTACTTACCTGTTTCTTACACACTTTGTATTCCCTTCTCTCCAACTTTGAGGAGGAAATTGTTAAGGTTTGTTTTTTCTTTCCTTCCACAGCATTTTCTTCTTGCATGGCTGCTTTGGTTGTCAATAGCAACAAGAATTACCAGGAAAGCTCAGCCATTTCACTTGAAGATACATAAATAACCGAGCTTAACGAAAGGAAATGGAAGAAACTTGAAACAATCCTAATCATGGTTAGGGTTTGACCAGCCTAGAGGTCCTAGAGGTAAGGGAAGAGATGATTTATTACTTCTCTGTGAATTAACACCTTCCCTCTTTAAAGCATAAAATATCCACTCTTATTTTTGATTTGTGCATTTATTTGCATAAGTTAAAATTAGTTGAATGGAGCCTTATTTGGGGTAATAGCAGAAGAGAAATAGTCCAAGACCAAATTGATTCAATTGAAGTAATAATTTAACTATTGATCCAGAATGATTGTTCTGTATTTTTAAAGGCACACATATTGTTATATATACATATATATATATACACACACACACACATATATATATATATATATACACACACACATATATATGCTTGTTAGAAGTTTTTTTCCCACATTGGTTAGGTTCATAACAAATTAGTGTTTTGTATCTATTGTTGTTGATGTTGTTAACTTTAAAAGAACTCACCATATCTTGATGTTGACACATTTCTTAAAATAGAATAATGAAATACATCAGGTACAATCTTAACAAAAAGCTGAAAATAAATCAAAGCATAAACTGCAAATTACATTCTGGATCACATATTAAGGAAAATTGCTTATGATTATAGTTATGGATTAAAAGGGAAAAATATAAAAGGATACCGTTTCTTTAATACTCTTTAGTTGCAAATTTGAATAATCAAATTTATCAAGAAAAATATATTAAATGATTTTAAATAAAGGTAAACAATAAAGAATAGCAAACATCATTATTTTCTAACTAGTTATATTAGTACTAAGCAGCCAAACAGTTCTGTATAGTTTATTTTTGTCTTATAATATCTTAAAGTTGGGTCACATTTCTCCTACTTTATATAAATCATCCTTGACACACACAGGATTTAGTAAATTTTATGGTATCTATATGTATATCCATTAAATAAGATTTCTAGCATGAAATTTTAGCCCATGTCTCCTGTTTTCAAATTTGCATTTTAAAACTATACAAAACTGCATTTTAAATCAAAGCAATGTTAAACCCAGAGTAGATTATTTCCAGGAAGCTTCTGGAGTCTATTCTCTATTGATGCATAAGGAAATTTTCACCGGCAGCGGTCACCACAATTTTTGTGAAAGCTGCCCCCAAATAAATGCCCTACGTGTATTCTTTATGGTATAAACCCCACTGTGATCCATCAGTAGCAGAAAATATGGAAAAATCTGTCCCATCTTCTCTTGATAAGGTTTCTCACAGCCACAGTAGTAAACACATGCGACGTTGACAGCAAAGCCACTCACAGCCTACAAGTCTAGAACTCTCTCCTGCGACTTGCCCCAGAACCACTGCTTCAGTTCAGCTGAATGTTGATACCGCGCACTTTGCTGAGGGTTCTCAGTGATACCAGGCATGATTAAAAATAAGCACTCTGATGATTTTATGAAATTGTGAGTAATATAATCTAGAGAAACTAAACTGTTTGGAGATTAGTTTTCTAGCCTGCAAAACACAGGTTTACAGATTTTAAATCAATCCTGGGTTTTTGGACATGAAAAAAATGAGAGATAAGAAAACCCGAAGGAACTGGGCCCATTTATTATCCAAAGGTATGCCTATCTTCTAGTATATAGTTTACTGTAAATTTAATTATAAAATGCCCAAATGTTAGGCCAAGCATAACCTTTGAAAAGGAAATGAAATGCCCCAGATTAAGAAGACAGATAGGAGTCACACAAGCCTCTTAAGCAAAGAGCACAGCATGATATATGCACATTTTCACAGGTAACAAACACCAGGTACATGCATGAAAGGGAAAGGTCCCACCCGACACTGTCCTTCTCCCTCTCACCCCTAATAGTAGTAGCTTTAAAAATTTCTCCCACCCCAACCTTAAATTTCACACTTTATTTCTCATTGTCAAAAATTATTAGCCTGGTAAACTCTATTCTTAGACAACTATCCCACACTGGACATTTAAGACACCAACATCCAGGACAACAGATCCCATGAATAGCATTTTAAGTAATTTGGATGATCCCAACTTTCAAACCACTACTTTTTAAGTATTAGAGCTAAAGAATTCATCAGAATCCAACAGAAGATTAGAGAACATTTAACACATCTACAAATCATTTCTTTATAGTTTTACCCCAATTCCCCAAATAGTTTTAAAAAAAATAATTCTGCCTTAGTTGGGAAAAACTATACATGGGAATGTCTTAATTCTTGGCCATACATAGATACCAAGATAATATGATGATGATTTTAAAACTCAATCCAAAAATAAATAAATAAAAAAAAATAAAACTCAATCCAAGGGACAAAGGACTTTGAAACCGCCATTATCTATGTGAAACACCATGAAATATTTATGTAATCATATGAACATGGGACAATTTATCCAGTAGAAACTATTACCATAGTAATATCTGATATAAAATCAGCTCTAAATACCCATGCATGTTAAAAAAAATACAGCTGTGAGCTGCAATTTGTGTTTTTCTATTTGCTATTTGTTGGCATGCAAACATTTGGCAGGTAATTACTAAGTACCTACAAATCTTAACACTGAAATAAAATAGGAGTACCAAAGGCTTTAGAAAAATATTTTGGGTGGCAGGAAGCTTATATTTGGATAGTCTATCTGTGGAATTAGTTTCTGTAAATGTCGCAACACATACCTTTGACCATTTAGGGATCTCTCCTAGAAATTGAGTCTGAGAATTCTAATATATGAAAATAAGACTAAGGATTTTTGAAAAACAACATTATTTTTTGGCAAAGTAAGCATAAATCCAGAAATTTCCAATTGTTTCTTCCTTTGTGTATATCAGTACAAATTTAAACTATGATGACCTATTTCCTAAAATCTCACCATAAATCAATAATATCTATAAAAGGCAACCCTAAACTTGTGATCTGATGATGTTACAATAGGAAAACATGTCAGTTCTGGAGAATTTTTATCATTAATCTACAGAATGGGTTAAAAAGATACTGACCAAATGAAGTGCTCAGTTTTAAAATTTAATTGACTCTAGATTATCCACATGCAAATAACTGTTGGCAAATCCTTCGTCTCAAATTGGCTCTCCCATGACATCTAGTACGTACCAAGGATTTCTCTCCAGTCTTTAGTTGGTGTATGGCAGAAAATGAGGGTTTCTAATAAAATATAACTAGAAAAATGCTTTTTTCCCCCCAAATCAACTACTATATTCTAAAACTAAGAAACTGTTTTGCCTATTCATATCTTTTTCCTTCCATAATAACAAGTTCACTTAACATTGTTTTATTAGACTAAGAACTAAAATTGTTGAATCTATGAAAGAATATGGAATGAACACATAGATATCTGTCACTATTTTATAACACATAATAAAATTTTAACCTATCTGGACTTTAATGTATTCCTTTATGCTGGCTTTATTAGTAATTTTATTAGAAATTCCATTATGACCATAATTATCTCTTTAATTATGCACTATTGATTAAATCAGAAAACTGAAAAGCTTAAAGCATTAAAATATAACATGTATTTAATTTGATATTATTTAACTGAACTCTATACTTTGTAACAAATCAAATTTTAGTAATTGGGTGTACATCTTGTACAAAACTAATTTGCCCTGGTAGATTCCCAAGGATGCACTGTCAATCCCATTAGGCTATGCTGCTAGTATTTTTTTATGGTTGTAGTGACTGATATCACTTTGAAATTTTTCCAAGCCAAATTATTTTGGCTGCATTCTATTATCTTTGATAACAGATCATTTATTTGTTCACGTAAAAAAATAGAAGGTCTTGGCTCTAGCAATGTAAATTCCTTAGCTCCCTTCTAGGTTGACTGACACAGGGTAACAATTCTCAGACACCAGTTCGATTCCTGGTTGGTGCAGATCTCTGAGGAGAGGCATTCAAAGCCCCCTTTCTTTGCTTCTCCCAAGGAAATCGGGTACTTCCTGGATGGGTGCCCTCTTAAAGACACACACAGAGCTCTCTCTCTCGGAGAGAGAGACTATCTGAGGACATGTGTGTATCAGGGTTTCAGATTCCATTGCCCCTGGGACTGCATGACTGCAGGAGAATCAGTACTTCCTCACACCCCAGGGAAAAGGAGTTAAGTTTGAGACTGGTTAGGAACATGAAGAATACTCACCACAGATTCTGCTTTGAGTCTATTCAGGCCTAAGTGGCTTATTTAAAGCAACCCTTCATGAGATTCAGGGGAACTGGGATAACAACCAAGGGTCATTTTGGCTCCTCCGCATATCTGTAACAATCCAGAGCTCTGGGGAAATGAGCACTGGTCAAGGAGTTTGTTGTTCCTGAGTTCACTGGCCCTATTTCGTGGAACAGCTCAAGT